AGAAGCGGCTCCCCGGCCCGGCCCGGCCCGGCCCGGCTCCCTCCTGGGGCAGCGCGGCGATCGGGGCTCCCGAGTGGCCGAAGCCCGGCGACATCCTGCCCTGGTGACACCGCCTCCCTTCCAGCTAGGGCCCGTGCCCCCACCCCCGCCCGCTTCTCCTTGCGCCGGGCCACTCCGGGGAGGGTGCGCGGGGAAGGGCGGGCGAGGCGCTGCTCCCCCGCGGGCCGCTGCAAACGGGGCTGGTGTCTTCTCTCCCTCTAGGCTACGAGGGCACCGGCTCGGTCCTGATGTCCCCTGTGCCCCACCAGATGCTGCCCTACATGAACGTGGGCACCTTGTCCCGGACCGAGCTGCAGCTGCTCAACCAGCTGCACTGCCGGAGGAAAAGGAGGCACCGGACCATCTTTACGGACGAGCAGCTGGAAGCCTTGGAAAACCTCTTCCAGGAAACGAAATACCCGGACGTGGGCACCAGGGAGCAGCTGGCCAGGCGGGTGCATTTAAGAGAGGAGAAAGTGGAGGTATTTCTCCCCACACCCACACCCACACACCCCGCGTGTTTGAGAGCCGCGCAGCTGCGGACACCGCGGGGCCGGGGCGAGCAACTCAACTCGGGGGGGTCAAGCCTTAAAAAGGTGCCTTTGTGCAGGCGACTGCTCGGTGCGGGACGGACTGGCCCGGAGCGACCGCCCGGTCTGGCGGGGGGTTCCCTGGAGACCGGCCGCGGCGCGGGGTGCTTTGCGGGGGGTGTTTGGTGCGGGACTGCTCATGATTTGCTCTCTTACGGGGCAGGTTTGGTTCAAGAACCGCCGGGCGAAATGGAGGCGGCAAAAGCGATCCTCTTCGGAGGAGTCGGAGAACGCCCAGAAGTGGAGTAAAGCGAGCAAAACTTCCCCGGAGAAGCGGCCGGAGGAAGCGAGAAGCGATTTGGACTCCGACAGCTGATACCTGCCTCTGCGCGGACTGTCGGGCTGGCGCCCGAGGATGCTGCTCACTTGCACAAGCTCTGCCTTGTCGGAGGGGGACAGATGTCTGTACATAGTGTACCCGGCCCCGGGCTGCTTCCTTGTAAATAAAACGTGCCGCGGGGTCCGCTGCTCCTCTCTGTGCTGCGCGGGA